CTAAACATCAAACCCTAAACCCTAAACATCAAACCCTAAACCCTAAACATCAAACCCTAATCGTTTAACATCAAACCCTAAACCCTAAACATCAAACCCTAAACCCTAAACATCAAACCCTAAACCCTAAACATCAAACCCTAATCGTTAAACATCAAACCCTAAACCCTAAACAGCAAACCCTAAACCCTATACACTTGATACAACGCCCTATACAGCCAACCCTAAACCCTAAACAGCAAAATTATACACAGCAAACCCTAAACCCTAAACCCTAAACCCTAAGCAGGAAACTGTAAGCTGTATGTCTCTAAACGCTACGTGAAGGGGAGAAGCAGCAAGCAATGAAGGGCCCCTCCATCAAGGCTAACAAAGAAATTAGGGTTTAGGGTTCAGGGTTTAGGGTTTAGGGTTTAGGGTTTAGGGTTTAGGGTTTAAGGTTCATGGTTTAGGGTTTGGTGTTTGGAGTTTAGGGTTTAGGGTTTAGGGTTTGGTGTTTGGAGTTTAGGGTTTAGGGTTTAGGGTTTAAGATTTACTGTTTAGGGCTCAGGGTTTAGGGTTTAGGGTTTAGGGTTTAGGGTTTAGGGTTTAGGGTTTAGGGTTTAGGGGTAGGGTTTAGGGTTTAGGGTTTAGGGTTTAGGGTTTAGGGTTTAGGGTTTAGGGTTTAGGGTGTGGGTTGTCGGTAAACATAATATTTATATGTTTTATACAAGCAGAAAACAAAATATTTGTTTCTTTTAGATAAATAAACAATGAGCAAAATAATAAATATATTATTTATTATTTATTAATATTATTTATATAAACAAATAAACAAATTTATTAATATTATTAAATCGTTGACATAAACACTGCATAGAAAACCCTGAACACAAATTAAACGCATTTGTATATAAATAAAGATATTAATAATAATAATTATTATTATATTATTATTATATTATATTATATTTATTTATTTATTTATTGTTAATAACAAACAAATAAACAAACAAACAAACAAACAAACAAACAAAGAAACAAACAGAGGCTGCTGGGGGGCCCCGCTGCAGTTTGTTTGTTTTTGTTTGTCTTTGTTTATTGCGGTTCTTTGTTACTATTTAAAATAATTAAATAAATAATAAACAAATTATTAATATAAATATAAATACAACAGCAAACACACTCACCTCTCATTTCTTCTCTTTTTTCTTTCCTGCTGCAGCAACAGCAGCAGCAGCAGCAACAGCAGCAGCAGCAGCAGCAACAACAGCAGCAGCAGCTTTTTTTTTAAATGTGTCCTCTTCTTAACCTTATAAACTATCAAATTATAATTAATATTGCTGCTCTTATATATATATTATATTATATCTGTCTGTCTCTCTTCTTGCTGCCTCTCACTCTGTCTCTCTTTCTCTCTCTTTAACTTAATACAGCATATATCTCTTTCGTTATCTCTCAGTCTTTTGTTTTTATTGCTGTCTCTCTCTCTGTCTCCTTTGCCTCCTTCTCTCTGTCTTCTTCTCTTAGCAGCAGCAGCTGTTCGAGTTGGGGGCCCTTAGCGGGCTCGTTGCAGCAGCAGGAGCAGGAGAGGCAGCAGCAGCTGCTGCTGCTGCAGCAGCAGCTGCAGTTGCTGCCTCTCCTGCTCCTGCTGCTCTTCCTGCTGCTGCTGCTGCTGCTGCTCACCATGTGGTTTAGCAGCTTCTTTGGGGGCGGTGTCTCTCACCGCGCTCTTTGCTGCGGTGCTGCTGCTTGCTGGGTGCATGCAGCAGCAGCAGCAGCAGCAGCAAGAGAGCCGCTGCTGCCCCCCACATCATTCAGCAGCACACTGCAGCAGCGGCTGTATAGAAAATCTTTCGCAATTAAGCGACGTGCTGCTGCAGCACTGTTTCTTTATTTGCTGCTGCCTTTCTTCGCTCCTGAACCCCCCAAACTCTCACACGACCAAACTACCCAGCAGCAGCAGCAGCAGCAGCAGCAGCAGCAGGGGCAGCAGCAGCAGCAGCAGCAGCATCAGGCTGCGGGGTTGGCTTTAGGGCCTGACGGCGGCTGTAGTGATATCTCCGGGTGTACAGACAGCTGGTGCTGCAGCGAGCAGCAAATTGCCCCCACAAAGGAATGGCTGCCGCTGCATCTGCAGCAGCAGCAGCAGCAGCAGCAGCAGCAGTATGAGGACTCTGGGCATCTGCTGCTGCAGCAGCCCCGCAGCATCAACCGCACACGCAGACTGAAGCAAATAACAGCCGCTCCAGAGGCAGAGGGATGTGGTTTGCAAGTGCTGCAGAGCAGCAGCAACAGCAGCAGCAACAGCAGCAGCAGCAGCATGAACGACAACAGCAGCAGCAGCTGCAACAGTAGGAACAGCAGCAACAGCAGCAACGACACGAAGAGCCGCACCAACGGGCGTTACAGGCGGACGAAACACAGCCGGAGCAACAGCAACAGCAGCAGCAGCAGCAGCAGCAGCAGCAGCAGCAGCAGCTTCATGCATCGCTTCTGGTTGTTTATGCAGCGAGTGTCTCCTCTGTCTTTAAAAGGAGGCTGCCGCGCATTCTTTGTTTTGTCGCTGTTGTGTGTCTGCTTCTTAGCTTATTACTCATTTCTTGCTGCTGCTAGCAGAGGGTTTTGCTGCTCTGCTGCTGTTCCTGCTGCTGCACTGGTTTGCTGCATCATCTCTGCTGCAGACTACTCTTTGCTGCTGTTCGGAGACCCCCCAGCAGCAGCAGCAGCAGCAGCAGCAACAGCAGGTGGTGCATGGTGCTTCACCCGTCTCTCCCGGCCTCTGCTGCTTCTCGCGCTGCAGCACTCTGCAAGGAAGCTGCTCCTCAGCATTATTAAAACACTTCCGAAGGTATTGCTGCTGCTGCTGTTGCTGCTGCTGTTGCTGCTGCTGCTGTTGCTGTTGCTGCTGCTGCAGTTCTGCTGTAGCTGCTGCTGTTGCTGCTGCTGCTGTTTTGCTGTTGTTGTTTTTGAACTTCCAACTGTTTCCTGCATAATGACTCATACCCTTTCTGCTGCTGCTGCTGCTGCTGCTGCTGCTGCTGCTGCTGCTGCTGTTTGTGTAGGTGCGGGGTTTAGTATTAGGTTTGTTTGTGCTGGTGTTTCTGTTTGACTGGCTGGGGGTCATTTTGTTTGCGGGGACTGTCGGACACGATCAATTTAGCAGCTTTGAAAGAGGATGCGTCTCTTTGCTTCTCGTCGTCACAACTGTTCGCCTGCCCCAGGTACGTCTGCTGCTGCTGCTGCTGCTGCTGCTGCTGTTGCTGCTGCTGCTGGGGGTGCTGCTGCTGGGGGTGCTGCTGCTGCTGCTGGGGGTGCTGCTTCTGGGGTGCTGCTGCTGCTGCTGCTGGGGGTGCTGCTGCTGGGGATGCTGCTGCTGCTGCTGGGGGTGCTGCAGATGCTGGTGATGTTGCTGATGCTGCGACTGATGCTGCTGTGATTGGGACTGCGGGTGATTCTGTTTCTTACTGCTGCTTCTTGCTGCTGCGGACTGCAGCAACAGCAGCAGCAGCAGCAAGTGCAGCAGCAAGTGCAGCAGCAAGTGCAGCAGGTATTTGTGTTTGTGTTCAGGTGCTGCTGTGCGGATACACCGTACATGAGGCTGCGGTTTTGTTTGTTATTTTATTTTATTTAATTGCTGCTCTGCTGCTGGGTTTATTTGCTGCTGCATTCTTTTCTGCGTTCAGGCAGCAAGAGCAAAAGGTGAGGAGACAGCTGCAGCTGTCTTGACTAATATGTTTTAATATTATTATATTATTATAATATTATATATATATTATATTATATTATATTATCTGGTTGTTCGTCTTATGTCTGTCTTTTATTTATTTATTTAATTTATATATATTTTTTTTGTTTTACTTCGCTGTCTTTGTTTTATTTTTTTGCGTCTCTTCATCTGTCCCTCTTTTTATTTTGATCTGTCTCCTTTTGCCTTTCATCTCTCTTTTTATTTATTTTTTGTATACACCGCATCTGCGTTTGCCGCCAGATGTCCTGTTGCAGCAGCAGCAGCAGCTCTTGCTGCTGCTGCTGCTGCTGCTGCTGCTGTGCTGTTTGTTGTGCTTGTACTCGCTGTTGTTGCTTTTTTTAGCAGCAGCTGCTGCTTGTATTCTGTCCCTGCTTTAACAGCTATTGCTTCTGCTGCTGCTGCTGTTGCTGCTGCTGCTGCTGCTGCTGCACAGGATAAAGCGGAGTTGAGCGCGATTCGTATTGGGTATCTGCTGAATGCATTTGGTTGCTTGCAAGAAGCAGCAGGAGGGCGTTTGCTGCTGCAGCAGCCGCATGCATTTGTGCTGTTTTATGAAGCGTGTGGGGTCCTTCCGTCTGTCTCCTTTAAGCCTCTGACAGAAGAAGAGATGCATCTATTCGTTCAGCAGCAGCAGCAGCAGCAGCAACAGCAACAGCAGCAGCAACTGCTGCTGCAGCAGCAAGTCGCAGCCTTCGCTCCTGAACGAAGGTGTCTCGGTACTGCTGCACTCGTCAGCCCCACAGCAGCAGAAGATATTGAGTGGATCCCAGCCTGGGGATCGGGATCGGGATCGGGATCGGGATCGGGATCGGTTTTGAGTCGTTTCCGGGAGTGGGGTGGGGAGTGTGAGAGCAGCAACGAGGCTTCGCGTTTGCTGCTGCAGGGCGCTGCACCCCTCACCTCATCTGCTGCTGCTGCTGCTGCTGCAGCAGCAGCAGCAGCAGAAGAAGAAGAAGAATTCTTAGAAACCGTCTCCTTGCTGCAGGCTTGGGGGATTTCAAGGAGACAGCAGCAAGCTGCTGCTGCTGCACGCTCGCGCATGCAGATTAAAACAGAAGCTATTCAGGTGCTGCAGTGTCTTGGCCTTGCTGCTGCTGCTGCTGCTGCTGAACAAGAAGAAGAGCAAGCAGCAGCAGCAGCAACAACGGGAGCAGCAGGAGGCCGAGCAGAAGCCCTAGAAGCAGAAACAGGAGAAGCAGCAGCAGCGAC